TCTTAGCAACTAGCAGAAACCTTTTCAAAGACAAAAACTAGGAACTCAAGGTATCAAACAGATTGTAATGAATCTGCTCAGCTTAAAGCAAGGATTGAGAAGGAAGGGACCAGAGCCCTACCTTCTTAGCCTCTCAATTCCCTGATTTTGCCTTGAGAACCCAGTCTAAGTATCTTAGATTTACACTCAAGGATTTTTAAATCTTATCACTATGCAATTCTCTGATTTATAGGTGCCTGAATTCCTGGTGATAGCCATGAAGTATTTTAATTGTCTCCAAATGGCTTACAAGCCACCATTCCTTTGTTTATATAACTACCCTATCTGGAGTATCCTCTCATGCCTCTCTTCTTCACCATTTCTCTGAAATCTATCTTCCTTCAAGACTTAAAGGAGTTTCATGAAGACTTCCCTAAAATCCTGCCCTTTGTTGATTGTCTCCAAGTTCTGTCCTACCATAAGGTGTTTTTTTATTTGACTCAGCACAGGTTACTTTGTATCGTTTCTAGTCATGTAGCAATTCTGCCTGACTACAGTGAGGATATATTTGAAGGTCATTAAAGCTTTTCACCAAACATTTCTGGCTTTTGGCATTCTACGTTCATGGTAGGATTCACTTCTTGGCCCTCTTGTGGTTGTATGGGGCCATGTCACTGTCATAGGTAGTGAGTTATGAACATCACTTCCAAGGTCAGGGTGTACAATGGCCTGTTCAAGGCCCTCCAGAACTCTCTTTCCCTCTGCCATGGTGATCAGCAACAACTGAGTGGCTATTCAATCAGTCAGGGTTCCAGAGTGAGAAAATATGGAGAAGTGACCCTAGCAAACCTGCAATGGATACGCAGCATGAGTGAAAATTAAACCTTTGTTCTTATGATTACTGCATCATAACCTAGTTTATCTTAATAGATTGGATAATAGAGAACAGTACTGTTCTGTATTTCTGGTATTCAACAGAGGACCCTATATATTGTATATACTTAAGCGAGATTCAATTTATTTGGCAAATTATTTTTGAATGATTTGAAAGGATATGGAGGTCATTCAAAATTTCTTACTTTCCTTTTCCTAAAGAAGGTGTAAGCTTTATAAGAACAGGAACTCTCTTAGACAGCTCTTCTCCCTTCACTCCCTAGCATTTTAGTTTGCAGTCTACAAGAAACTCTAAATAGCCTGGGTAGTTTTGGAAGGGGTGATGTTAAAGAAGGACATTCTAGAAGGGATAAAAAAAGTGACCTGTTGTGAAGAGATCAGTAGTTGGTTCCTGGGAAAGAAGACAATGAAATGAAGTATTTAGGGAAAGAACAACTTTTAGAAAAAGTTTAGGCAACAATAAAGATAAGAAGCCCGGGGAGACATTCTGGGAGGAACAAGGAGAGCTAGGAACAGGGATAAGCTTGGAAACACTTTCTGATAAAATGTTGGGAACCTTCCTCATCATCTTTCACTAAGGCTCAGTCAGAGTTACATTGTATACACTCCAGACATAGAGGAGAGAAGTGTCCTTGAGGTTGGGTTCTGAGTAAGTGCTCTGGGTCTTAGATTTGAGACCCAAAGTTTCAACAGTTCCAACCTTGATTTTAAAAAGCATGGTGAACATAGTGGTCTCTGAATCACTGAAAATTCTGTCCCTTTTACTGAATATTGACTGTATTGACAAGGAAGGAGAACCAAGGGGGCTTCAGGGAGGAAAGAAGTCAAGTCAAATGCTCCAAGAAATCAAGAAATTTGCAAATTCATAGAAAATAACACTGGGGGCTTCCTGTATGCCAGGTACTGTTCTATGGGCTTTATTGGCATTTCCTCATTTAATCTTCACAGCAAAGCTCCTGAGGTCAGTGATGAGGTTCAGATACATTAATTGGCTTATTCAAAGTCACATGGCTAATAAGAGGCAAAGTGAGAATTTGAACCTAGATTTGTCTGTCTCCAAAGGTCATATTATTTTCATTACCCCACACAGGCATTGGTAATAGATTGTCAAATATCATTTCAACTAGTTTGGAAAAAAAAAAACACCCAGTATATATATTTGCCATTGCTAATTGCATTTAGCACCAGGAGGAATCAGAGTAGGAATGTAATAAAAGACAGCAAACTTCCTAGCCTTATTTGAACTAGATAGTTTCGTCTTCTTTCCCCACTTTCCTCCAATATCTCCCACTCTTAAAAACTATAAAGAAGTGAAATGTAGAATTTTACTTTCCTTTGATACAGTGATAGAAACAGGGAAAAACCAGGGGCTGGCTGAAATCTGAGAAGTTGTGAAAGGGTCCCGGAAAGATGTGATAAATCCCCTGAAAACATAAGAAAGTTCATTTTCTAGGCTAGGCACTCTCCGATGAGAGAGGCTTTGGTTTACACTGGACCACTGGGTTTGATCCCTGGGTTGGGAATCCCCTAGAAAAGGGAATGGCTACCCACTCCAGTATTCTGGCCTGGAGAATTCCATGGACTGTATAGTCCATGGGGTCGCAAAGAGTCAGACATGACTGAGTGACTTCCACTTTTACAGTAACAGTCAATAGTCAGGCGGAGAAGAGATGCAGAGTTTTCTGAATCTCAGACACCACCCTATCTTGCACTAGGCCAGAGATGGCAATGGTACCCACTTCAGGCTCAGAAAGAGGTAACTGGTGTTGAGTAAAGGACCACAGCATTGCAGGAGCCTATTTCAAGAGGTCAAGCACATGTAGCTGACGTCAGGGCTGGGTTTCTGACCACACCTTCAGTATGGGGACTTTAAGCTCCTGAACATTTCACAGCAAAGTCCACTCATCAGTGTGAACCCCTTCCTGCTGAATGCCTCCTACTTTTTCACACTCTCAGATAATCTTCTCAATGGACCATTAATAGATTTATAGACTCCTTTTTTTTTTTTTTTTGGCTTTGTCGTATAGCCTGTGAGATTTTAATTACTCAATCAGGGATTGAACTCAGGCCCTCGACAGTGAATTGGTAGAGTCCTAACCATTGGACCACCAGGGAATTCTCTGGATTCCTTCTTTCTAAATCTGTAATCTTGTCTGGAAAGCACTATCCTCACAAAGATTACCTCTAATCTTCATTCATTTCTCTTTCTCTTTTTTGCTCAGCTTCCACAGTTTTCTTTGCTCCTTTTCTTACTGACAGGCATTCACCCACTCATCAGGTGCCTGTGACTTCATGCTTGACAATACAGAAAAGCTCAGATTTGTAGATATCAGTGAGAGGCAGTTCTATTGTTTTCTGTCCTTTTATAATAGTTTATGCCTATTAGCTAAAGAATCAGATTCTTTTTAGCCAGTCTGATTATTTTTCTTGGAGAGCTTTGAATGAAAGTCATGGCAAAATAGTTGGCTATCAGTAGAAATGAGGGAGTGGAGATATCTAAGCTGAAGAATGCTGGATGCCCCAGAGATGGAGATGAACATAGCTCAGGTGTGGGGGGATCCCTTTTTAGCTTGTGACGTAACCAGGGCATTTTGTTTTCTAGTACCTTGTGCCAGATGGGAAAGGATTTGTTATGAGAGCCTCCTCTAATGATGAAAACCTCTTAGATAATGCACATAATGGGTTCAGGTCATCTCTTCATTAGGTGACCTTATTCTGCTAATCAACAATCAGAAGAATAAACATGCAGAGCTATGATGGAATTCTTTACTGAAGGAGAAGTAGATCTCAAAACAAGAGTGCAATAGGAAGAGAAACTCTGTGTCACTAAGGCGTCTTTGGATGTACAAAGGAAGTCCTTTAAATTTCTGTAAGAATGGTGCCCCTGTGAGTTTCCCTACTTCTCAGTCTCCAGTCCTTCAAGACTCTCAGCCGAGTGTCCTCTTCTAACTGGAAACATTTCCTTTCTCAAGAATGGAGGAAGTTGTGCCCCTTGGTCTTGTAACTCAAATGGCACCTCAGGTTTCTTTTCTACAGTCCTTTCTAGAAGGACAGGAAATGAGTTTCAGAGCTAATTTCCTCACTACTAATCCTTAGAAGTAAGCCCCTTGTCAATACAGCACCTTTTCCTTTTTCATTCCTCTGCTGCAGAGGGTTGGGTCAATTATTATGATGAATTTGTCATCACTGGTCTTATACAAAGCCTTTTCCTATTTATTTTACTGATTTATTTGTTTTTACCCTCATGATCATGTGAAATCACAAACGTGAATCAAGATTGCCAGGAGAAAACATCAACAACCTCGGATGTGCAGATGATAGCACTCTAATGGCAGAAAGTGAAGAGGAACGAAAGAGCCTCTTGATGAGGGTGAAAGAGGAGAGTGAAAAAGCTGGCTTAAAACTCAACATTAAAAAACCTAAGATATGGCATCCTTCCCATTATTTCATGGCAAATAGAAGGGGAAAAAGTGGAAGCCAGAGAGACAGATTTTATTTTCCTGGGCTACAAAATCTCCACGGAAAATGATTGCAGCCACAAAATTGAAAGACACTTGCTCCTTGGAAGGAAAGCTATGACAAACCTAAACAGTGTACTAAAAAGCAGAGCATCACTTTACCACAAATGTCCATATAGTCAAAGCTATGGTTTTTCCAGTAGTACTAGTAAGCATCTTGTAGTGTATACAGAAGTTAAAATACATGTAAAGTGTATATAATGTAATAAAAAGGTTACCTCAACAAAAGATTTGGGGAACAAGACACAAAAAGACAAATACTGCATGATATAACTTCTTTGTAGAATCTAACAAATTTTTTAAAAAGTCCAGCTCATAGAAACAGAGAACGGAATGGTGACTGCCAAACTCTGGGGGTGGAAGTGGTGGGACAAATATATATATGTATGGCTGGAAGAGCACAAGAAGGTGGCCTATCCAACAGCCATTCTACCACTGTGGTTGATTACTTATCTGTCTGTCTAATCTTAAATGACTGTTCCCTTTCTGGTTCACTGATCATGGCTCTGCCATGCTCGTTGGGGCAATAAATACCAGTCTGGACTGCTCAGCATGGAGTCCTCTGACTGTCTTGCCAGCCTAGAAGCCTCCTATCTCCATCCATAATTCATGAAGTTCCTTCTGATTTTGACCGTTACCCTGCTCCTGGCCCAGGTCACCCCAGGTAACCAGGATCTTTCCCAAGAGAGAGTGGGTCAGGGAACCTGCTGCATATTTAGGGAATTCTGGTGGCTCTAATAGTTTGGGCTGGGAGAATGGCCTTGGGCAGGGAGAATGGCCTTTGGATATCTCTCTAACCATATCTAGGATATCTCTCAAACTCAAAGGGGAAGTTTGAGTTCCCTGGTGCTGATTTTTCAGTGGCGTTAGTTGACCACTCTGCTTCTCTATGGTTGGCTCTGGAGAAGTTGAACGTGATGATGGTGAAGACAGGGTGGGTACTTGGAGGGGAGAGACTTGGACATAGAGTATGGAGGAAATGGGAGTTTTTCAAAAAACATTCCTTGGGATAATTTGAGTTTTGATCTATTATTGCCTCTATGAAAACAGTTCCTTGATTTCTACTCTCTCAGGCAAACTCAATTTATACGGGTTACTTTAGGTTGTACCAGAGAGCTGTTTCTAATTCTAATCTTGACCTGTTAAGACCAGTGAAAAGCTCTGGAATGCTGTGAAAAAGAGCCTTACAGATGGCATGCTGCAGTCCATGGGGTCACAAAGAGTCAGACATGACTGAGAGGATGAACAACAACAAAGAAGACTTGCAGATGTTCTGATGGATGTATTTCAGATTCCCGTCCCTTTTTGTTGATATGGTCAGAGAGGGTACCAAAAAGTGAAGGGAAAAGATGGTTAATTGACACCTGGGCACCTGTGTACATGCATGTTCAGTCACTTCAGTCATGTCCTGGGCACCTGCGTACCTTATAATGGGGGGAGATGAAACCCTACCTGGGTACCTTATAATATGGGAGAGGTGAAACCCTGGAGACGGGGGCCTTCTTGCCTCCCCAAAGGGAGCTGGCTGGGGTGGGGAAACGGCCAAGTAGGTCCCAGGCCACTGAGTGGGGAGAATTTTGGAATTGTGACTGGGGACACAAATGAGAAAAAAGAAAAGACAGTGACTCTAATCTCCCTTAAACCTGGAGGATGCCTTATGAGGGCTTTTTCTTCACATGTCTCCTTATTTCCCTATAACTCTCTTTTCTGTTGGGCTTTGGCCTCCCCCTTCCCCAGCCTGCTGCTTATTTCTAGACTGATCCACCCCTCTCCTTTTCCTTTAAATTTCAGCCATGAAGTGTTGGAATATGTTGGGAAGATGCAGAGAAACATGTGAACAGAATGAAGTGTTCTATATAATGTGCAAGAATTATGGTATGTGCTGTGTGTCTCCCAAACACGTGCCTGTCAGAAACTGAATCTTCAAACATAGCTGGAAGATTGAGATAAATTTCCATGGTCTGACACACCTTATCCAAACCTGAGTCTAACATCATTGGACCCTATGGTTCTGGTAAATCATTCTTGCCTGTACTTTTTGTGTCTGAGAGTTCTATACAGTTATATTTAGAAATGTTAAATATATTATATTGTATATAATTTATATATATATTATATTTAGAAATAAGGAGTGGATTAAGGTGCATATGGGTATTGTGGAGAACAGGATGGACCTGTTGGTAATAATTTCAGTCCTCTGCACATCTCTCAGCCTGCTGGCCCATGGCTGCTCCCACATGATGTAAATAAGGAATGTTCATTCTACTCTCTGGTTCTCGTTTTCTAGACCAACACTGTCAATAGAACTTTCTGCATCAAAAGGATGGTTTCTTATTTGTGTTGTCCAATATGGTAACTACCAGCCACGTATGGCTATTAAGCAATTGAAATGTGGCTAGTGTGACTGAGGAACTGAATTTTTAATTTAATCTATACTTCAATGTATATAGCCAACTATGGCTAGTGGTTACTGTATGGGACAGTGTAGCTTTATTTATTTATTTATTTTGACAGTGTAGCTTTAGAGTCTAGAGATAAAAAGCAGAGACGGGCTGGGGGCTCAGCCTCAGGTATTTTAGGTGAAGTTAAGGAGGCAAGCTGGGATCTGCAAAGAACATAAGAACCCATTCTTAGCCTGCTGGTTCTCTTTCTGTATTTTCATGCCAAGGGCTTCAACTCTCCCTTGATAATACTTGCAGTTCTGTCCTTTTTGGGACTCCAAGATTATGTCATTCACCCTGGAGAGAGTTGATATGGGGCCGCATGTGGATTCCTGCTCCATCTCTTTCCTTCCTTTTCTCCCTGGTTGGCACTGCTTGCTACTGAACTTCTGGCCAGTCCTTTTCCAGAACTGAGTCGGACCTGAGACAACAGGGATTTTCTTGCCTCCAGCGCCATGATTTGGGTCATGGTCCAAGTAGTCCCCACCCATTGCTACTTATCTGACTAGTCAGAAAGAACTGATTCTTTATCCTGAGTTGGAAAGTTCTATTCAGAGTTACCTGTCTACTATTCAGTCCCATTATATGAGAACACTGAATCTGGTCTCAGCCTTATGGCTTGATTCAGTCATCTCCAGCCTGCCTATTTGATGATTACCTCTAACCCTAGAGTCTAAGTATTACTGCTGTTGTCAAAGGATGAGCATTGGATTCAGGATCAGAAGGTCTGGCTTCAAATCCTTATCAGATGCTTCTGGGCAAACCATTCGATCCTCTCTGCTTTATTTTCTCACCTATAAAACAAGCATTTATCTTACCCAAAGCACAGGGCTATTATGAGGATTAAATAAAATAACAGGAAAGTGCCCAGTGCAGAGTCTAACACACATTTGATTCCAATAAATACAAGTTGAATCTAGATTGATCTGACTCCTTAATTTTCTGCTGTTAGACTCTGCATAGAAATAGCCTACCTGTTAAAAATTAAGATCCGCCTTCTCCAGTTTGTCCCAACTCCTTCTTGCCAGAATGAATCAGTCTTAAAATTGAAATGAAGCCCTTAACCTCACTAGGTTTTCACTAATCATCTGAACCTCCTGACTTCACTTCCCTCTGTGCTCAGGTTGGAGATAATGATCTAGCCCTGTAGCAGTTCTTTTGCAGACAGTCTCAATACCCATGTTCTACTCTGCTTGAAATAGTCCCAGTCTGGCAGAATGCAACCACTTGCTTGGCTTTTCCATATGTATGTTTTATCAGCTGGTTATTTTTGGAGAAAATTATCTACCTGGCCTCAGAGATTTCATAGGAAATTCAAGGCCTCAAACCTCAAATAGCATTCAATTCTCCTACACCTAATTTATTCTTTTCTTCTAGGAAGCTTGGCTTCTCACTCTCTGAAATCACTATTGCATGATTATTTTCTCTCTCCTCAATTTTCTACTACTTCCTCAACAAGTCTTTCATCTTCTCTTGAGTGCTGCTGCTGCTGCTGCTAAGTCTTCAGTCGTGTCTGACTCTGTGCGACCCCATGGATGGCAGCCTACCAGGCTCCTCTGTCCCTGGGATTCTTCAGGCAAGAATACTGGAGTGGGTTGCCATTTCCTTCTCCAATGCATGCATGCATGCTAAGTCACTTCCGTCGTGTCCGACTCTGTGCGACCCTATGGACAGCAGCCCACCAGGCTCCTCTGTCCACAGGCATCTCTAGGCAAGAATACTGGAGTGGGTTGCCATTTCCTTCTCCAATGCATGCATGCATGCTAAGTCACTTCCGTCGTGTCCGACTCTGTGCGACCCTATGGACAGCAGCCCACCAGGCTCCTCTGTCCACAGGCATCTCTAGGCAAGAATACTGGAGTGGGTTGCCATTTCCTTCTCCAATGCATGCATGCATGCTAAGTCACTTCCGTCGTGTCCGACTCTGTGCGACCCTATGGACAGCAGCCCACCAGGCTCCTCTGTCCACAGGCATCTCTAGGCAAGAATACTGGAGTGGGTTGCCATTTCCTTCTCCACTTTTCTTGACTAGATATACCTATTCTTTTATTCAGTTCTATAACTCCTGTCTTCCTTTTGGATAAAACAGTTTTGCCTGCTCCTGAGAAACCAACCCCTCCACTTGTCCATATTCCTCTTTTCCTTCCCTACTCAAGGATTTCATTTTCAATTCTTCTCTTCATCTCCCCTTCTCTTCTGGACCATTTATAACACTATACAAAGATGTTCTCATACCTCCCATCTTAAAAAAAAACATCCCTTAGTCCCATTCAGGACTATGCCCAATTTCTTTGCAATTCTTCAAAGAAAAATTTCTCAAAATGCTGTCTGTCTCCACTTCCTTACTTCCTCATTTCCCATTCACTTTTCAACTAAATTCAATTTTGGTTTAACCTTGCCATTGAAACTTTTCTTGTAAAGGTCCCTAACTATCTCTGATGTTGCCAAACTCAACAGAGGCATCCCTATTTTCCTTTCATTGACTTCTAGGCAATATTTGACACTGGGGCCACTACCTGCTCATTGAAATGCTTTCTTCTCTTGATGTCTAAGTTACCAGATGCTTGAAAGTGAAAGTGAAGTCGCTCAGTCGTGTCCGACTCTTTGCGACCCAGTGGACTGTAGCCTACAAGGGTCTTCTGTCCATGGGACTCTCCAGGCCAGGAATACTGGAGTGGGTTGCCATTTCCTTCTCCAGGGGATCTTCCCGACCCAGTGATCGAACCCGGGTCTCCCACATTGCAGGCAGATGCTTTAACCTCTGAGCCACCAAGGATTAGGTTGCCTTTAACTGGTCAAACAATTTCCTTTTGGTCTTCTGTGTAATCTCCTCCTCTCCTGCCTAGTCACAGGGCTTCTTTCTATTTTTTTTTCCCCACTGGGTGCTTTGAACACCTTCCATGTGCTGATCACTTCCAAATTTATATCTCTGACCCCATTCTTTCTCAAACCTCTAGTTGATATATCTGCCTTCTTAAGTGATGTCTCCATTTGGATGCCTAATGTATCCTTTTGGTGGGGACCTCACTTCACCAAGCCTTGTTATTACCCTATTATCTCCCTTTTCAGTAAATAGTAACAATATGTACCCAGTTGTTCCAAACTAGAAGGCATCCTTGGTTCCTTACTTTGCTTCACTATACTCAATTTATCAGCAAATCCTATGGCTCTACCCTAAAAATGTGTCTGAAGACCGTTCATGTCTTTCCATCTAGTTCAAGCTATTATTAACTTCTTTGCCTAGCTTTTCTTTTTTAAAAAAACTTTTTTATTTGATATTGGAGTATAGTTGATTAACAATGTGATAGTTTTAGAGGAACTGCAAAGTGATTCAGATATATGTATTGTATTCTTTTCCCATTTAGGTTGTTAAATGATATTGAGCAGAATTCCCTGTGCTATACAGTAGGTTCGTGTTGGTTATCCATTTAAAATATAGCAGCACAACATGTCAATTCCAAACTTTCTAACTATCCCTCCCTCCACCTTTCCCCTCACCTCTGGTAACTGTAAGTTTGTTCTCAAGTCTGTGAGTGTGTTTATGTTTTGTAAATAAGTTCATTTGTATTATTTCTTTTAAGATTCTGCATATAAAGGATAGCATACAATATTTCTTTTCCTCTGATTTACTTCACTCAGTATGACAATCTCTAGGCCCATCCATGTTGCTGCTAATGACATTGTTTCATTCTTTTCAATGGCTCAGTGATATTCCATCATATATATGTACCACATCTTTTTTATCTTTTCCTCTGCGAATGGACATTTAGGTTGCTTCCATGTCTTGGCTATTGTAAATAGTGCTACAACGAAGCCACTGAATTTGTGGCTTCTGAATTTCTACAGCAGTATCCTAACTGATTTCTTGTTTAATCCCCTAATGGTGGCTCAGAGGTTAAAGCGTCTGCCTGCAATGCGGGAGACCTGGGTTCGGTCCCTAGGTTGGGAAGATCCCCTGGAGAAGGAAATGGCAACTCACTCCTGTATTCTTGCCTGGAGAATCCCATGGATGGAGGAGCCTGGTGGGTTACAGTCCATGGGGTCCCACAGAGTTGGACACGACTGAGCGACTTAACTTCAACTAACTTTAATTTTCTACACAATCAAAAGATAAATTATATCCTGTAACTGTTCTGTTTGGGCTTCCCTGGCAGCTCAGTGGTAAAGAATCCACCTGCCAACGCAGGGGACGCTAGTTCTACCCCTGGTCGGGAAGATCCCCTGCAGGAGGAAATGACAGTCCACTCCAGTATTATCACCTGGGAAGTCCAATGGGCAGAGGAGCCTGGTGGGCTACAGTCCATGGGGTCACAAAATATTCAGACATGACTTAGTGAATAAACAACAACTCTGTTCTCTTTTACCCCAAACTATGGCTTCCTGTTTCCCTAAGAGTAAAATCTAAGCTCTTGCTATAATTGGTGAGGCCCTGCCCAACCTGACTTTGCTTACCTCTCTGGCATCTTCCTTCCTCCTTA